CCCCCCCCCCTTCTCTCGTCCACCCCAGGTGCAGCGGTGCAATCTGTTTAAGACGGCCAAGGGAACGGTGACAGGCTGGCTTTGTTTCGTAACAGGATAGAACATAGGACGGACGCATGTCGTTTGGCGACCAACATCGTCCTGGTGCTGGTTGCTGGTTGCCTTGGCGGACACGTTCGAGTGCCTCGGCTGCTCGCACGACGGTGACGTGGGCCTCCAAGTCACTCGCGGCCCCGGCCGGTCCGGTACGCCCTGGTTTGCCTTGGCACCCCCGTCGCCTCCGTCCTCCTTCGCCTCGGGGACGCCTTGGCCTGTGGCCTTCTGGCTCTCACGGCCCGTCTGCGCCCCCACCCTCCCTCTCCACGTCGCGCGCCGCGCCGCCCCTCGCGAGAAGAAAGGGAGAAGGAATTTGAGGAAGAAGGCGGGACGGGTAGGGGCGCGGGTGGGCGAGGGCAATGTCTGCTGTCAGGCGGCAGTCACACAAGCTGCGGCCGCGGCCACCCGCGACCTCGCCCCGCTGCAGCAGCCGGCCCGCCGACAATAATATGTGTGCCACAGAGTCACAGCGCAGCGGGGCCGCGAGCGATGCATATTTCTGCGCGCTTCTGTTGTGTGGGAGTGCGTGCTCTGTTTTCGCAAACGCAGTTCACCCTGTGCCGTGCGCACGCGAGTGCAAACGGCTTCGTCCTCCCGTCACATTCACCCATTTCTCGTTCAATTATTTTCTCGTGAACAGGACGCAAATGCTTACCTTGTCTGTGAACCCTTCACCTTCCCGCAAATATAAAGTAAACAAGTTAACTTATTAAATGCAGAAACTGTGCACTCGCATCACTTTTTGTCGCCGCATTACCTTTTGGCGGTGTACATAAACATAGGCCGGTCTCCTTTCGCCTCAGTCAATTAGATACATCACATGCGACAGATGCCAGCACCTGTTTAAAAATAGGCGTAACGACCCCAAGCACTTTCGAAAACGATCCGACTACTGAAAGGTGGGGACGGTCGGGAAGGGGGGAAGGAGATGAAGCAGTGACCGAGCTCGTAGCGCCGCGGCGATGGCAGCGACTTCTCAATTGAGTGGTAACTCAACCCCCTGCGAAAAGAGGAGCCCCGAAGGGAACAAGGGGAGAAACGGCAAAACGGTGAAGATGCCCACCAGAGACCGTCCGATCTTGCCTGTTCTCATTACTCCAGCGTCGCCCTGCAAGTGACAAGTATGTTTTAGGTAGCCCTGGTCTGGTCATGTTGGTCACGATAGTCGAAACGGAATTAATAAATAAAATAACACATCAACTGTCGTATTAGGCTATCTGGGAAACAACATGTGTGACATGGGACCATGGGACTTATGGGTCACAATTCATTTTAGGGGTTCGACCAATGGCATGACGATGACGTATAACAGCAGCGATGGGCGGTATCGTGATTTAGGTTCACTTCCGCAAAGTTGTTGATGTTGTCGGGGGAAGCGGGTCGCGCCGGACGAAAAGCCAATACTGGGAGCCCTAATGGCGCCCGCAGCCCTCCACGCTGAGGTCGGGTTCCCACACCGCCCCGCCCCGCCTTCTCGCCGATGAACAGGTGTTCCCCGGGCACAAAGCGCCCTCGCGGCACTTATTGGGCGCGGTGGCATGGCGTGCGGTGCAGGCCGCCCCGCCCGGCCCCCCGGGGGTTGCACTTTGGGTCGACGACCCCGCGCGGTGAGGCTCGGTCGGTGGAGCGTCGCCGCGACGCGCGTTTTCTGGGTCAACGGGAAGCGGAACAGGTCGACAGGCTGCCACGCCCCGCCCCACCACGCCACGCCACTTTTGTCGGAGCCCACACTGACACGGAGGGCGGCATAAGTCCTCCAGTCCATTCGCGACCACGATCGCGGCCGCCTCGGGCGAGTCTAACCCCCTCCTGCCCCGTCCGGCGTAGGTGAGCGAGAGGC